ATCAGGGTTTGGGGGATCATGGTGTTGAAGGCGGATGTGAAGTCCACAAAGAGCATACGGACGTAAGAGTTTTTCTGCTCCAGGTGGTTGAGCGCAGTGGACCACAGAGCAGATGGCATCCTCTGTTGATCGATTCTCACTGAACCTTGTGTTCAGCTTTAATGGCTGTACGCCAAAGATTTACAGAGGAAAAAATGGTGAGAATGAGTTTAGTATTCAGCTATGACTGATTAAACGCGCAGATACTTCATTGCTCCTGTCAAACAGGTTACACTGAGTGGAGCGGTCGACCGTTCCAAGATGGCAGCCCTACGGCTCGTCAGTGCCAATAGGCGATAGCGGTCAATGCTGTATCTAGCTTTTATATGATATCTATGGGTATCACTAACGACAGGGCCAGATTAACACTTCGCTGTACCCTGGGCAACAATCTTCAAGGGCCCCATCATCACGACCCCAGAATCACCATAATCTGTCAAAATACAGAATAAATTACCATAATATACAGTAAATATACTTCAAACTCTAACTATCAAGTGTAATCTGATGTATAAAACTCCAAATGCTCATAGAACTATAAATGCAATGTCCTCTTGTTGACGCAAATCATCATGACTGAGTTAATTTAAACACACCTTGAACACCATGTGTACTTGTTTAGCAACGTGTTGGCCATTGGTGTCAGAGGCGTTTGTGATGTGGGGGGTCCCTTTTCTATCAGTCCACTGCTGTGTTTTTGTGTGAAACTAAATAAAACCAAACAGTTTTTTCCTGACCGGGAATCGAACCCGGGCCACGGCGTTGAGAGCGCCGCATCCTAACCACTAGACTACCAGGAATTTTTTTTTTTTTTTTTTTTTTTTTAATTGCGATTTTTTTGGATTGGAATGAAACCCTCCATGCATGATGTGATGTGATGTTTTTCCTTCTCCCCCCCCCCCAAGTTTCTCTGTGGACTTTGGATCAAATCATAGTTTCTCTAGAAAAACATCCACAACCAAAATCCTAAAGCAAGACACATTGCGACTGCACCCATGACTGTAATCACCTCTTTACAGAAGATAAGGGCTTTATCCCATTTCTCAAAACTTAGGAGACTTTTTCTGATGATATCCCGTAAAACTACAATGATCTTGTTGCTGACGTTCTTATCTTGTTCTCGGACCACGTCTCTCAGCTCTTGGGTGGTGCAGACCTTTTGGAGTTCCCGAACCGCCTTCTTCGACACTTTTTTGGATCTTCTTGTGTTAGAGTAGAATTGTTCGGGGGTCTCCAGGTCATTTATAATGCAGGTGACCAAATACTTTACGAACAGTATTCTTTCTTCCGTGGGAATGTCGTACTCCAAGATTGCGCCGACTTTATGCAAAATGCGCAGAGTTGTGGACATCGTGAAAATACGCAGCGGATCGTTGGATGTGTGGGTAACAGGTTCCCGAAGAAATGGTCCCATTTTTCCTACCTTAAGTGAAATATGAACAATTTTAGAGTTGTCTGATATGTGTTCTCTTGAAAGAGACTTTCAGAAATGATATTTCACTTAAACCGATCTCCTTATATAGACTTTAGACTGTGACGCTGCCCTTTGAAGTCATGCATGACTGACGTGACGCTGCCCTTTGAAGTCGTGCATGACTGACG